AGACGGATATCTTCGGGACCTAAGCCTTTTTAAATCATTCTTATAAAAATAATGAAGGTAGACTTGTCGGTTATACTCAGCATTATCTGATAGACCATTAGTTCAAAAAGGACAATATCACAAGATAACAATGATTGGTGTAACCTGGTTCTACCAGACAACTATAATGAATTCACAATTGGCAATAGATATTTCCAAGTGGAAGTACTGACAGTTATATCAGCACTCGCTATTCTACCCTGACTTTTTAAACTTTACTGAATTTGGTAACTTACTTAAGTTGTAAGTAAAATTGATATAATTCCTAGTTTCCAAAAATTAGTCTTTACTTTCTAATAAAAAGTTTAGATAATTTTCATAAATACTAACCTATTTTAAGCATAAACATTTTTTATATATTTAAATTCAATTGATTTTATTTCTTAATTCTTTTGATTTTTTTTTTGAATTATATTTGTTAGCAGTGGATAGTTTAGTATTTATATTATTATACTATTATTATTATTATTATGTCATATTATATTACTATTTATATTAAATTATATAATTTATATATTAAATTATATAATATATAATTTATATATTAAATTATATAATATGTAAATTAAAATCTAATTTATATTATAAGATTTACATCAGGACTGTCAAAGCACATGTCAAAGCACAACCCACGGGCTACATTCTGCCCGCAGATAAAATATGTGCGGTCCGCGACATATTTCTAATCTAACACAAATCCGCAAATTTTGCTTTGATATTTATATTAGTAAAATTACAATAATTTATTTTTAATTTAATTTAAACTAAATTTTACATTACAACCGTCTTTTTATTTATCTCCAAAAAAACTATGGACGTATGTACTGATTTCCTCCATTCTAAACTGTGATTTGTATTCGATTATATCTGCTCTGGACAGCCCTGATTTACATCAACGACTCACAAACAAACTTTTGAATATACAAGACAGCAACGTTTGTTGTTGTACATTTGTCTCAACTCAACTTAAATGTATAACGTATATATAAAAAAGGAAACTACCTATAAAGGCAGCAGTAACGAAGGTAACAGTAGAAAATAAATTGGTAAATAAAAGTGCCATTGGATTTGAACATTTTTAAAGAAAACATTATATAAATAGCAGCAATGTTTAATAAATTAAATCTCTTTTTAGAGATGTATGGCCTATCTATCACGAGTGTGTAAATTGGGAGCAATTACCATGAAATATACTATCATATATTTAAAACTGAAATCTTACAATTATTACAATTACATATATTTGTGGAGATATGGTATATTGTAATAATGGAAAGCAATGCTATATTCTAGTTGTAGCGCCATTCGATTATAATGATAAAATATAAAAAACAATATGCATGTTAATCTAATCAATCTGTCTGACTACTAATGCGTTGGTGATTGCATTATTTTCCACATATGATTCACTTGCATTAGATATATTTATTTATATGTATAAGTGCACTATTGTATATATATATATACATATAGGATAATTGTTCATAAATCTTAAGTTGCTATCTGATAACAATTAAGAGAAAATACATTTTTCAAATAAACTCGACTCTGTCATACATAGTTAATAAATTATTTCTACTATTTTGTATACTAAAATTGTTTCCATTTAAATTATGATTGCTGAATTAATTGCTTTTCATGTGTAAGTAAGTATCTTTACCTCATCAAGAATTAATTGCAATTGTTTTCTGTGTGTCAAGTGTCGAAATTGTTTGTTTGATCTATCAAAATGTGAAGGTATAAAAAGTATCACTTGCAGTTTTCTTACTGATTCATTGTTGAAACTTAGTCGGTAACTAAATACAATTTAAAATTTAAAATTCATAAAAATAATTTTTTTTTTGTAGATACAAGTACTTTAATAATAATAAAAAATGAAGCTTCTTAGTGTTTTATTATTGTGTTCCGCTGTGTTCTATGTCAGGGTAATTAAATTTATAAAATAAAATTTTTATTTAAAATTAAAATAATAAAATTAAAACCAAGAGTTATAGATATATATAATTATATACCTATAAATATATAAATAGATATATAATAATAATGAAATAATTGTTAAGTGAAATTTAAAAACAATACATAGTGAAAATAAAATATTATTAAAAATGTTATAATATGTAAATTTTTAATAAAAATTTTAAATGATCACATTTTAATATTCAGTTTTAAATAAATGAATTTTATTAAATTAAATTAAACAAAATAAGTAAAATGTGTAAAGTAAATAGTAATTCTTTTTAAAAATGAGCATTTAAATATTTTACATATCCTTTTTCAACATGATAACTGCTTCCTTTCATAATTTTTTTTAGTTTTAAAACTAAAAATATAATCAATGAGTGCGTGAATAAAGGACCTTCATGGAATATCTGTTATTAAGTCAAAATATGAAGTAGTTTGATTGTAAATCTCCTTATGCATTCTTCTATAAAACTATCTAGTTATAAATGCATAATTTTATAATCATTTGAGTATGTAATATTCTAAGACAGGGTTATTCAAAGCACGACACATGACCCTCATGTGGTCCGCGACTAATTTTTGTGCGACCCACGACTATATTTGTGCGACCCACGACTATATTTGTGCGGCTCACGATATTTTTCTAATTTACCATAATTAGACAAATTTTTTTGTGTTATATTTTAGTGAAATCACATTATTTTATTTTATTGTTGTCCCAAATAAATAAAACAAAATGTTTTAAATAATTTAACACACTTTACGTTAATTAAATTAATTGATAAACACTTTAGTATATATTTCTTTGTACAACTGGTTCAAGAAACTCATCTCCAGTGCCGTAAACCATTACATTAAAAATCAAATATTATTATTAGTATATGTACAACTAATACTAATAATGTTGTTATTGCTAGAATTGCAAAAGATAAATTAATGAAGAATAAAACTAAATTCAACATCATCGCCGTATTTTTATTTTTATCCCAAAAAATTATAAACAGATGTCTACGGCCTTTCAACTTATTCAGTAATTTGTATTTGCCCGCAATTTTATCTGGTCTGGACAGCCTTGTTCTAAGTTATAATAAACGAGTATATTATTCCTACTTTATGACATGCTTAAAATTTAAATGAGTTGATTATATTTAAACTACCAAATGCTAAGATCACTATTTTAATAATTTAAATGAGGTGAGCTTAATTATACACTGCAAAATTTTTTCTTTTAAAATATTCATTGAACTCAGTCATAAGAAAAGTTGCAAAGAATCTGTCTTGAATAAAATTAGAGTAAATTCTAATTATGTATTCGGCTGCAATTCTTATTTAAATTTAAGATTTGTAGATAGATAAATATAGATTTATTAAATAGAATTTCGTTTATTTTTGTCACATTTAAAGTTTTATAGTTCATGGTTTTTATCAAACAGTAGTGAAATTGCAATAACAGGATTTTTTTTATTATTTCAATTAATTGAACTTTTGGGTTCAGCTGTTTCCCAAAATTGCCAAATGTATTGCCAAATGCCTATCATCCCAAAATTGATGTAGTAGACATATAATTAAGAAAGACGTTTGTGTCTTAAGTCTTTTGAAATAGTAAATAATTTTATTAAATTTCAAGCCAATGTAAGAATTAATGAAACATCTAAACCGATTTAATTTGTAAAACGAAATATTATTTGAATAAAGATTTATATACTTATATAATTTTTAATATAGGTTCTCGACTGTCCTATATTAAGTGCAATGATACGAGCTATAGAACTCGCAGATGACAGTCGAGGACTCACATAAAAAATATTATAATCATATAAAGAAGTTTCTCGCACAACAAAGCCAACAATGAACGTGCTATGTGGTTTTTGACACCATCCTCTTAAAACCATATATCTTTTATATCCATATCATTTCATATCAAAAAGTTGGGTTATAGTGATCAGAATTGTCAACTCTTGTCAGATTTTCAACATTTTCAAAATAGGACGGGTCTAAAATATTTCCATACAAAACACTACATCACACCATGAGTTTTAATAGATGCATTAGTCTTTCGGCAGTTACTTTTGTTTCTTGACATATCCACCAACTGAAAAATAGGGCTCATCATTAACATGGTATATAGTATAGTATTATAGTAAGTTTAACACGCTTAGCAGTTACTAAGCGATCCCTGTTGTAAAAATGCAAACTTTAACCAAGTGAATAGCCCTTTAGATGAAGTCTGCACCATTCACTCAAAGACATAACTGCGCTAAAAATTTTTATGAAACCAGTCTTATCCGGTTTATAACAGATGTGTATTAGGCTATGCAAATAAAAATAAATATTTATAAATAATATATTTCACTACTTAATATATATACAATAATATGTATAATTAAAAAGGGACAATAGAGAAGGAAAATATATCGTATCATAGTATTCATAACGCAAAAAGATATATAAAAGGTGTTATCTGCTAAAAATATTTTCATATATAAAAAAATTTTAAATTTTAAGAAGCTGTCAATATTTTGATTAATATTATATATTCATATCAATTATTTTTATATCATAGGCTCAAGAATTCTCTAAGGATAAATTGCTTAGCATTGCTAATGACTGTAAAGAAGAAACCGGAGCTTCAGATGGTAAGTAAATAATAAACGAATTTAATTAAAAAACTATAAAAAAATATTCTAAAAATTTTAATTAAATATAATTTTTATAAATTGAAATAAACATGACATTTAAATTATATTATTTTTAATAATTTTAGATGATGTACAAGAAATGCTGAAGCATGAGCCATCTGGTAGCACCGAAGCTAAATGTATGCGTGCATGTTTGTTAAAAAAAGTGGGAATTGTAAGTTTAAGTTATTAAATTAATATTAACAATAAATTATAATTACACAAAACTAATTATTTTTAATTAGATGGATGCTAATGGCAAATTAGACAAAGATGTTGGAGCCGCTGTCGTTAAAGCTAAAACACACGGTGACGCTGGACAAGAAGCAATAGGAATTGAAATAATGGACGCTTGTGCCTCAAAAATGGATTCAGATGATCAGTAAGTATTGATATGTAATAAATATATGTATATGTATATATATATATATTAAAATATGAAAAAATATTTTAAGAACGTATTATTAAGACACGAGTTCAGCAATGAGTTAAAAAAATCGTAAACTAGTTTCAATAATAGATACTTTATTCATTATTAAAGCAAAGTAGATGATGTAAACTTTGTTGAAAGGCAGGCAGGGTATTTGTCTTTTTTGAAAACCCTTGAAAACCCCTTCTTATGACTTTAGATAAAAGAAAAAATCATGGGAGTAGATAATCTGTACCGGAGTGGATAACTGTTTCCCCAATAGGTCTAAATTTATCTACATAGAAATCATCAGATTTTTAGAAATGGATAAAAATTGTCATCACATGATAAGCATCAATTTCGCCTACATAGGTGGTGTTTCCAAGGACTTAAGTAAAACTGTGGATTAGAGAAGAAAGAGAAAAGTATTGCTCATGAACTTAGTTAGTTTTTGGCAAACATTGGAAGACATCTCTTACTATAGGTTCTCATTTAATCGAATATCTATCGAGATCGCATCGCATAATCGTATAAATCAATTGCATAATGATTTTCAGAACCAAAATAAAAGCAGATAATAATCAAATCAGTTACGCGGTTATTATCAAACTACGGTATTTATATTTTATAGTATATATAGTAGTAGTATAGGTATAGATAGAGAGTATATGTATTTATTTAAAAAAATAAATTTGGTTATTAAGTAATAACAAATAACTTTAATTTTTAATTAACTTTAATTTTATAGTTGTGAAGCAGCTGAAGAGTTCGGTGCATGTATAAAGGAACAAGCCAAAGAAAAAGGTTTCGTTATGGAAGAATAAAAATTGAATTAAAATCTGAATGTTGATGATATCTCTGGCAAACGTTGAAGGAAATATGAATTTCAAAATTAAATCTGTTATGAATTATTTTTATCTTTAAGCTACTTTGTCTTCTCGGTGCAATATTATTATATAAAAAATATTATTTTGATTTGTAAAAATTAATAAAATAATTTTACTTGTGAATCGTATTGCTAAAGCAAACAAAAATTTAAAATAAATGTTTTTTCTAGGCAGATTATTCAAGATATATTTTTTTTTAAAAATAGTGTGATAACTAAACTATAATATTATGTTCTACATGAGTACTATATATAATTTTTATGATTAGTACTTAATTTTCTTTAAATGTTTCCCTCTTCAATGGTAGCAATGTGCAGTTCTCTTCATAGAATATATAATTGCTTTCTTCAAAGAAGCTTTGTTGGTTTGCATCACGCTAGATAAAAATACAAAGCTGGAACAGGCTGCCTGGTATTTGTATTTTTCACCTTTAAATAGGTTTCGATTTTTCATCATTTCTATAGAATAGCATAATTTGATTCTTTATTCATTAAATGTGATATGATCAACATAGTTCACTGAATATTTATCTGTTTGATTATGTAAATGTTCCAGTAGTGCTAATCCTAGTAAACTTATCATTTTATCGAGTTTGCGGTTCATTATTTATTCAAATAGGGTAGCGTCAAAGATATTGCGTAAAATTTTATTATCTTAAACATATAATGATAAATTAACTTTGACCTTGTTAGTCAATCTTTTATTTTTGAGGGTTTAAAAACCATATCCAATCAAGCAAAAGGTTTGCGAGTTGGAATATTTTTCAATACAGTCTAATGAATGAAAGTTACCATCGCATTAGTTATTTAAACCCAGTGTGATTTAAAACTTCTTCTACAATGTTTCTCTAATATATACATAATTTCTTTCTTTTCCTTTTGAATTTCCTTATGATTATTAATTTCACTTTCACAAAAATAACCCATCGATACCACGGTTTTGCTTTCATTTTTTGCATATCCGCTTAAGAGTGTTGGCTTTCCGATAATGTATTCAATCTATCTCTTGCGTTGTTATTTGACGAAGCAGGTAGCCCCAAAATATATTGTATATAGGAATAATTTATACTCGTTAATTGTAGTTCTTTCATTAGAATAATAATTACTGCATTATTTCAATGATTATTAGATAAAATTTTTTAATATAAAAAAAAATGTGCTACTGCCAAGCACATTTTTTTTGTTTAGTTGCCATAAATTATTCTCAATTATCAGATATTAACAGTTTAATCTCGGCATTCGCAAATGTGTGCTTACTAATCGCAAGTTCTATTGCAATTTATATCTTATTGACTGCAATAACTAATGAAATTATAAAATAAAAATAAATTGCTTTTGGATTTATTATTTTATGAGTGTAATAAATTATAAGAAACATTATGAAGTAAAAAAAAATAGTTAGTTAGGTCTGGCCGGAATTTTAATACCCTCCTAATAGATAGTTATGTTATATAGCAATTTTTTATTATTTAGTCGTTAAATGGTTTTTTAGTGTCTAATCTAAGCACTTATTAATTTAAGAGTATACTTCTGAGCACTACGTGGTATAGTTAACCAATTTTTTGATTTATCGATTTCATTTTATTGCATTTACAATCCAGGGCAAATTTACATTCTGTCAACTCAACAATTAAAATATTACTTTGCGATCTTCTAAATATATATTGAAATAGCAGATAATTTATAAAAACATATAAGGATTTTGTGGTCCAACATCAAAATTGGCAACGATTTTGTAATTTCAAAAGCCAATTTCTTTTGTGATCATTTATTTTATATGGTCTTGGATATCTATATATAAGACCTCTGTAGTCATACATTGCGAATTCGATCAATCTTGCCATGCAGGTAATATGATTTTTAATGTCAAGCACAATGCGTTCCATATGTCTTAATCAATTTAATATACCCTTTACTTCTCATAGTGCAAAGGGTATTAAAGTCAATTTTTATTAAATTTATAGTAAACAATAAAAGCGTTTATTGCCCATTAAAAAAACTATAAATTAAAAATAAAAATCAATAATTTTTATTCACATACCAAAATTTCCAAAATGATTTTGACTGTTTTTCAGATAACTGAATTCTCGATTTTCGTTTTCTTATGAATAGAAATTTTTGGCATATAATAAGGATTAGAAATCAAACTATTCTTTATATTGTTTGAATGATTAATTGAATATCTCTTAGGTAAATAAGGTCTATTGTGTTATCTTTAAAGAAAGTCACGCAATTTCTAAAATCTCTAATCTGTCTATACATAATTCAAGAGTGTTAACAATAGTTTTATAATATATTTTAAATCTTGAAAAGTCTGGTTTTCTGATCATATGACAAAAATGTTGAAGTAAATAATCTGAATTCCTGACCATTCACACGACGAACTTTGTTAGTCCTAATACTTATTAATCACAGATATTTAACAGCCTCAGATATTTAACATCGGTACTTGCAAATCATCTAAACTCAATGCTTTTAGATACTAATACAAATTAGTAGGAAGATATTTTAATAAAAATATTATGTTCTATAAAAACGTATCGGCATTTTTCATGGTAGCCAGTAGTGATAAATCTCTATATAATTTATCAAGAATACAGATGACAGTTACTTTATTCGTGTAAGGTAGCTCAGATATGAAATTTTTGTTGCATCAAAACAAGTCGGATTTAGTGTATGTTAGATGATATATCAGATGATTATTCGAAGATATAATAATGCTGGTGGTTATATATTATTTTTAAGACATATTTTATTGAGACATATCAATGGTATATGCTTAGTAAAACTTACTGGTTTGTACTGAGTTTATACACGCCTACATTTTTCTTTTATCAACTTTTGTCAATCGCTGACCCTTAATATAGTAGGCATTGTGCGGCTTCATTAAGTCTACTTCACTTCTATTTACATATATCGTTTAGGAGTTTCAGTAACGAATATCATACATTTACTAGAACGGTTTGGTTCAATCTAGGTTTATAGAAATTTTTATGCACCCAAATAGCGAAAATGAGCAATATAGAATTTAACAATTTTATGAAATATAAAAACCGAAATAGGTCTCTCTTTTTAACGTCGTTATCATATGTTGAATTTAGGAAATTGTTTAGTAGAAATCTTATTTCACAGTAAATACCTTATTTCGGTTCTAAAAATTGTTTCATAGACTTAAGTATTTTTTGAAAGTCCTGAGTTAAAATTGTAATAATTTCTTTCGCATAAATGTAGCCAAAGATAGTTTATATACTATGTTAGAAATAGCACTCGGTAGAGTGAATTTAAAACTACGATAGATTGAGAAAATTTGATTCTGAGTAGTACTTTAAATCCATGAAAGGGGCACAATAGATCTGTAGATCATAGTGACAAATTTCCAAATGAATAGTAAAGTAGTGATTTTATATAATATAATATGATTATGCATAAATTGTATTTTTAAATACTAAAGACATTAAATAATTTGGGTTTAATAGAGTTTTGGTCGTGTTTAGTAATTTATACCTGAAAGCACGATTTTGGACTAATAGATATTCTTATCACGACATCTGCCTATTGCATTTGTTACATTATCGTTATTAATAATATTTAATTATTCATTTATTATTTTATCTTTATTATTAGTTGAAAATTTATATGTAGTAAGTTTAGTTATAAAATGTACTGTAAAAAAAATATTAAATTATAAATTTATAATTATATTCCTCATTTTTCAAGTTTACAAAGAATGTAACAATGAACTATACGAGTAACAAGAGTATTTACTTTGATTCTAATGAAGACTGATTTTTTAGTTAAGACTATCGTTTTAAAGTCCCTTTAAATGCAATATAGCTATACAAGCTCCTGTTCTAATTCTCCACATGATTTTTGTAGCCAGTGGGTTTTATTTCATATTTATATTGTTCATTTATGATATACACATTTGAGTTGAGTTAAGAACCACAATTCATAAAAACAAAAATTAAATTTAAACAATTTTAAAATGACGTGGTCTGATCTACTGTAGAAGTTTCTTGTGCTGACAATCTAGGCGACTATCCCAGCTGTCCTTTGACTGTTCTCTATTTTATAATCATTATTCTATATATTTTTGTAGAATAGATGCAGAATTATATTGTAAATGACAATATATTATACTATAATATATAATAATATATATGCTGTCATGATTGTAATTTCTTGAAACATGATAAGATAAACTACGGCAGTTGGTCGATTCAGAACCATACCGGTCTTGAATCGGAACCTTCGATTCAAACTTTTTGAAGTATTTAAACAGAATGATAAACCGAATCCCTGATAAAATTGAAATTACTGATGTGAAGACTAGAAATTTCTAAAGGCGTTAAAGATTCTATTGTTCGTCTTTACTTCATAATCTTTTTGACTGTCTTAATTATTTTGTCGATTTTACATTTATATGAATAACAATGTTGTGTTTGCCTTAGTTATATTAATTTTACAAGTTTCAATAGTATCTTTCAGTCATCATTATAAGACTACATATATCATACTCAATATTTGTATAGTTTTTGGCTAGAAATTCGTTCACAATGCTAGCTTTCTGAGATGGTGCTTTACAGTGATGCAAAATTTAGGAGTCTTCTCGCCAATGTTAAATCGCAAATACACACACACTGACAAAATGACGTATCGTTAACAGAATTCGACTATTCGTTTTAGTTAATATTTTAAATATTTGATTCCCGGTACTTTTTTAACAGAATGTAATTCAATGTTAGAGCTCAGATTTATTGATTACATACACTTATATGACTTTAATTTGAAACCATTTTTAAAAAACGTGTTTATGGTATATCATATCATGTCATAGTTGTAACATTATAATAATATATTTTAATTAATATATAATTAGATATATACTGAAATTGATATGCTACTACAGTAGAAATTCTAATTTTTGGAAGTAGATATATTATACTAAGTAGAAAAAATTATAGACTATAATTACAAAGGTTAACTAAATTAAAGTTCAATATATAATAAAATAATTATTAACATTTCGTTTTAAATTGAAGCGTGAAAATTTAATTATATGATTTTTTTTTAAATTAATTATTGTATTACAAATTAAATATTTCAAGACTTCACAGAAGATTACAGCTAATTGTTTGCAGTGTATTTAATATATAAATTATTCATAAAAGTCTAAAGTTGAAACTGCATCAAAGCTATAAATTGCAAAATGCAATTTTTATTTTATTAGAAGTGTTGGTGTTATCACTAAGTATTGTATATAATAATTAAAATAATTCGATTTACTAAAAAATATATATTAGTGAAAAATGAAAATCCTCAGTGTCCTACTTTTGTGTATAGCTGCGGTTTTCGTAGAGGTATTGTCCTTAAATTATTAATATTTGCAGTGAATCAATAAAAATCTTAAAGGTTTTAGTAATTTTAAAATAATTTTTGATTTGCTGCAAATTTTAAAGCATATATCGATAAATAATTCCTTAAAATCGTTAAGAAATACGGACTAGGTAAAAGAAAAAAAAATAAATGTAATTAAAAGGAGCTATATTTTGGTAGTGAAAAAAAAATGATTGTTATAAACATAAAACCTTTAAATAAATACAAAACTAAAATATATTTCATATAACATAATAAAAATTTAACTTAAAACAAGTTTAATAATTATTCAACTAGAATGCATTAAAGAAGATTTTATGAATATATTGCTATATATACAAATACCCATCCTCATAATTTATAATATACAAAAATTTATAACAAAATAATATTAAGCAATAAAACAAAATAAAAATAAGGTTTTAATAATAAAAAAAATTCAATATAAATAAAAATCACCAAATTCAATATAAATATTACGAAAAAATACGAAAGGGTTAAACTCAGCCGACGTAACAGATTTCATAGGATATCGCTGACGTCACACTTTACTCTACAGAATATTGATTGGTTCGGTTTAATCTTCAAAAACTATAGACTTTAACCTAGTATCATATGCTTACATATATTAAAGTCGGAATTTAAAGTATATTGTTTCAGACTTTTATATAAGCTTCTTTTTTTCAAATGCTTAATACTCCATTCATTTTCGTGTACCATGGCAAGAGAGATTGAACCAAACTGACCGAGAGTCTACTCAATACTAATGCTAAAGATATTGCTGAGTGTGTTAAAGAAAGCTGCCCCCAAAAACTTAAGCCTAGTTCTGAGCAAGGCTGTCCTAACTGCTCTTCGATAGCAGCTAGCCACGCGTTGCAGAAGATACTACAGGGTAGGTTGACCCTAGCTTCATGCCGTCCATACAACATGTCTTCAACCTTTTCTGAAATCACATTTTACATTACTAATGATTTATATTTAAATTATATCCTTCTTCCCGTTTTGAAACCACAAATCCTCGTAATAATGGGTAGAAAAAGATCAAACTAGAACCAGCCAGAAGCATTTATAAAGCGAGAGTCTGCACAGTACTAATATTAGAAATATCGCTGAGTGTGTTAAATAGGGGGGCCTCCAAAAACTTAAGGTTAGCTCTGATCAAGCCTGCTCTAATTGTTTTTCGAGAGTAACTACGTACGGGTTACAGAAGATACTACAGGGTAGGCCGACCCTAGCTTCATGCCGTCCATTTAATTTTATATAACTTTAACTTAAACAATAAATCTTTATTAAATATTTTTAGAGTCAAGAGTTCTCCAAAGAAAAGTTAACGGCTCTCGGAAATGAATGCAAGACGGAAACAGGAGCAACTGAAGGTAGAACAATAAATTTAATTGTTTTAATTGAAATTTAGTATATTTTATAAAAATCATTTAATCATAATTATTTTGTATTTTTTAAACCAGATGATATGAAACTTCTTTTCAACCATGGACCTGCAGAAACTACAGCTGCAAAGTGTTTAAAAGATTGCGTTATGAAAAAATTAAATCTTGTAAGTATATTCTGTATAGTACGTATGTTTATAGAATTATAAAACTTAATTAAATCAATATTAAATTAATTAACTAAATTATTAATTAATTAATAAAAATTATATTTTAATACTATAGTTAACTGATGATGGAAAATTGAACAAAGAAACCGCAATTGCGATCAAAAATATAATAGCTAATGGCGATGCTGCACAGGAAAAAGCGGGTGATGAAGTTATAGAAATTTGTTATAAACTTGAACCCCAAAAAGATAAGTAAGCTTTATTGTACATAGGAATATACCTTACGAGAAGCACTTAAATTCACTTTTTTTGAATATTTAGATGTGAAACAGCTGAAGCACTCGATCAATGCTTTAGGAATAATTCAGAAGCTAAGGGATTTACTTTTGTGAATTAGTAAAGAAGTATTAAACTACCCCTAAAATGATAAAACTTCAGATGGAATATTGAAAATATACATATATAAAATGATTCTATAAGAATAAAATGTTTAAAATGGCACTCTATAAATAAAAAAATTATTACTGTTAATGAAAGCATATAAAAAGTTAAGATGTGGTTTTATTGTTTAAGGTTATTATTAGCTGTGATTTTTTCTTTCAGAGTTGTAAAAAAATAGCATTAAGTCTGGTTAAAATAAATTGGCATCACTTTTGAAAATGATGTTTGAGTGATATTCATATTGTTGTGTACAATATGCAATATAAGCAGGGTAAGCATTTTTTTA